CTTTCCTCGATGGGACCTAAATTTCAACGGAAAACATTTTGTTAAACGGATGTGTATATCCAATAATATGGTATACCATACAAACTACTCTAATCCCAAACCTCTCACATTTCCAAAAACCTAATGACCGAGACGTCAGCGCGCTCTGGGTATGAGTTTAGACACTTGTTGACACCCCTTAAAAAGGGCTTTACAGTAAAAGGCCATTTATGACAAAACGGTTAATATACACACATGAAAAAAAAATATATTAGTAGAATAAGACCACTATTTTAAGGGTCGAAGCAAGAATATACAGTCAATTCCCGTTATAGCGGACACCCTCGGGGCCGCGATTTGGTGTCCGTAATAGCGGGGTGCGAGAAAATTTTTATTTTAAACCATATTAACAGAAGGGGGTCACATGTGTCTTCATTTTCATTAACTCCAGTACCTTTTTCAGACCCGTTGTCGCAAGTAAAGATCGTCAGAACTTTATTTACAAACAGAACAGAACTTAACAGAACAGGAGTTACGTACCGTTTGTGTACAGTAGTTCTTCTAAGTACGTAAAAGAAAATCATCGTATCTTGCAGCAATGTCCACACATGCATCGTTTTGGTTTCCTACTGTACTGAAGTACAGTAATCTACATTTCTAAAAAAATTATTTTCAAGGAAAAACCTGAACATCAGCTATTGATTGCATCAGCTATCACAATGCCTTAAAATATCGTTCCAATGGGCTCTGTGCACTTCTCCTTTGAATTGCAACTTCCCCCACTTTGTCGCCAAGGAGACTTTTCACATGGTTGTTTCGTTTGAGCGTTCGTCTTCACCTGGGGTATCTTCTTTTTCCATTCCATTTTCGTCGTCACTCTCTATTTCCATGACATCGTGAGAAGTACCAATGGCCCCCAGCAGCTTTTGTTCGGTAACAGGTTGAAAGTTCGTTATCGGACTCCAGGTAAGTAGTGATTCCACTTCCAGGTGCAACCTGTTGGACAAGATTCTCCAGTTCCTCATCGGCCGAGACATCAAGATCAGCAAAGGGATCCTCCTCTCCTGTCACAGTACTGAGAAAGTGCTGGAAATTCCAGCTGCTGCAAAACATTTGATAATGGTATCGCTCTCGACCTTAGACCAAGCAGTCCCCATCCACCTATGACGAAGTAGCAACTTTCTGTAATGGACTTTAAACTTCTGGATTATTCCGAGACCTAAATTAAAGGTTGTAGCTTGGACGTGCAGTTTACAGGAAAAAACACAAGTTTAATATTGGAATAGCGTCCCTTGAGATCATAGGAGTGACATCCAGCAGAGTCAATGAATAAAAGTATTGATCATTCTGGGCCTTGAAAGAGCTGTTTAACTGGCCGAGGAGCTTGTGAAGGATATCAGATGTCCTCCAAGCCTTCTGTTGATTCAGATACTGACAAGGAAGATCATCTTCCTTTATATTCTTCAGGCACCTTGGATTCGCATACTTTCCGATTACAACTGGTTTTCTCCTTTCCCCAGTAGCAGAAACGAAGAAAGCAACAGTTAACCGCTCTTTTGACTTCCTTTGCATTTCTTTGCTTTCTCAGAAAGGCTCTTATCCGGAAGTGCGCGGTAAAACCAGCCAGTTTCATCCATGTTCCAGATGTCTTGCATCGCATATCCAAAGATAATAGAGCCAAGACGCTCTTTCCAAGAGTACACTGTAGCCTCTGGCACATCGGCAGATTCACCACAGAGTTTGTGTTGCGAAAGGTTGTTGCGCATGTACCGGATGTATCAGTTGCAATTACAGAAAAGATTTTACATACAGTGTGCATTTTAGTCACATGTTTTAAATATTTCACACGCACGACCGTTCTGTGTGGTCACGCTAGAGATCAAAGATCGCTGTGGTTCTGTCAAGAGCAAACCAAACTCATTTTGAGCTATTTTTATTTACTGTACTGGTTATGGCCAGTCCTCAAATTGGAAGAGTTGAAAGCAAAGAGTACTACTCGTGGATGCGAGGCCACCATGCTTACAAGGACATTTTCGAGCCTGTTATTGGTACCACGCTCACTTTACAGCGGGAACCAGAAAATGCAAAAGATCCGCATGCTGTTGCTATTGTAGAAGATACTGGACGCATTGTTGGTCATATCCCATTAGCTTTATCGAGAATTGCGTCGTCTTTTTTAAAAAGGGCTAACCACAAGGCAACAGCAGAAATCTGTGGAAAAACGGATCAATCGAGGATCTGGCTTGGGATTGGAACTTCCAGTTATTTATAAGATTTACGGCGGAAGGAAATATTTGGACAGACTGGACGGACTTATTCATGGCAGCGAGACTGCAAAGAGGGCCTTAAGAAAAAAAGATGAAGGAATTTTGATTGATGGACAGAAGAAGCGGAAATCGACCAAAAAAGACAAAGACAGTCGATCCCAAAAAGCAGAAAAAATAGACTTGATATGTGTCCAAATATTCCAAGATGCTGCTCGCTGTCCGCTATAACGAGAGAGAAAGCAATAAAATTGTGACGTTGGGACCGACTAAAGTGTCCGTAAGTCCGTAATAGCGGGAGTTTACTTCAGTCAAACGTCTGTAACTTTCGCCGGGGATTTTGCTGCTGTCCGTAATAGCGGGGTGTCCGTAATAGCAAGGTGTCCGCAAGGCGGGAGTTGACTGTATACTAGTCATGCAATGTTTCGAGTGGTATGCCACGAAATATCACGCGAGTGGCTATATTGTTTTATCAAGTAACGAGAGAGATATTCAAGGAATCATTACAAAATGTTTTATCCTGACTCGACATCACAGGTATTAATAAAATTTTGCGAAAATCGCCTTTAATACTACATGTAGTCTGTCGACAACAACGTCCAAATAATCTATAGCTCGTTAATGCTGAATTAAGTTCGTATTGGCCTCTTTCTACTGTAATGGTGCTGCGGACAAAATCGCAAAGCAAAATTTGTCTGCTTAAGACATATTACGTGTATTTTATAATAGCCGTCTTAACCATAAACACAAATGAATGTCGCCTACAGGGCGATACACACTCTTGTTCGCCTCGCAGAGTTAGTTCTCACATTGACTACTTTCTCTTTCAATGGAAAGTATCAGTACAGCCAAACCGGAGGGGCTGCTATAGGGTGTTGACATAGGCCCAACTGTGCCTGCCTGTTCATAGCAGGGTCGTAACATGGTATTTCCGACACCCATTGATCCCTATTTTCTTGCCGTTATTTTGATCCCTGAGCCCCATTTTCCCCAAAATTTTGATTCCTGAGCCCTGATAAAAAAATTGATCCCACCCATGTTTTTGCGCAAAACTTAGACAACTTTGTTTATCTCCAAGGATAGAATATAGAACATGCTCAAATATGCTGATGAGAAAAACATTAATTTAATTTTTACTGCAAGTTGTAGGTTCTATCAGAGCTTTAAAGATCAATATGAGTCAACCTCTTTTTGTGCATTATTCTATTTAAAACACTTTAAATATAATGTTTGGCGATACTAAACAGATGATAAAATCTGATTTTCTTGAAAGGGAGCTTTAGTAAGATACACAATGTTAGTTATTGTTAATTTATACAGTAAAAGTAGTCCACTTCCCTTTAAGTATCGAACATCGTGAAAGATCTAGCGGCGAAAACTTGATTTTTTCAGATGTAACGTTCATCAGTAGTATTTACAAGGTTTATTTTCAGTGTTGCTCATACAAGCAAGGCCACCCGGAGGTTTATAAGCCAATCACAAGAAAGCATTGAATTCAAAATTTTTAGTCAAACAGCAAACACAGCTAGCGCTGGTTGGTGCCCGGTTCAATTAACGTCACTGTAAGGTACTTCTGAACTAAGGTCTTCCTCTAGCTTTCCAATTCCTGTCCCGTACGAACATCTGCTTGCCCAGATAACTTGTCCAGTTAATCAAGGTCCGATCTGTGTGGGTCACAGATGTTTTATTTCAAAGAGACTCTTGCAACCAAAAAAATTTCACGTTGGCCGCGTTACTGGTCTACAATATTGATGTTAATAAAGTGTGATCGTTTGTCTCACGATTCAGTCACTTAATGATGTAGATCGCGACGTTTCCACTGCGTACTTCAAGTGTTCATTAGGAAAAGCAACACTTAATGGCCTTGCCTTGCTAGTCTTCGTCTACTGGTCACACGTGAACTTATATGACTCTGGTTGGTCGATTATTAGCCGCTGAGATTGGTGCATTTCTTACTCCGTTGTTTGTATGAGCCTTTGTCTCACTGGTCCGCTGTCGCACGGATCTCCTATTGCTGCGTTTCTTGATTAAGGGCAATCAAGCTTCTGGACTTTCTATTCTGCTATCCCTGTTGATGTTGTTAGAGTGTAGTCTTATGTGAATTTCCTCTTTCACTCTGTGTGTGTTACAGTGAGGATCACGATCAATTACCAATAGCAAAACACCTGCTTTACATGAAGTAGAAAAATTAACTACAGTTTAACAGCTTTTCTGTGTCAAACCCATTTATGGCTTTTCCTGGCTTAATAACCTCTGAAAAGTTGTCCGCCTTAGCTTGCTCCCCTTCCTCTTCGTCACCACCTGACGCAGGTGAATCATTTGATTCAACTGACCCCTGGAGCAATGCAACTAGGCGTTGCTCTTCAAGGCAGCTCAAACAGAAGTTGTTTCCATCTTTTATTATTTGAACTTTCCCAATGATACACTTAGGTGAATTTCTATCGTCACGGTGCCCTGTCTGGAATACAAGGGGATTTTCTTCTGACTGTTCTAGCCATCTCAAACCCATGTGATCTTCCAGGAATGCGTCACCCAGCACTATGGTGGAGATCTTTTAAAAGAACTGCAAGGAAGAAAGGAATGATATACCTCTTGTAATTGTGCTTGAGAGCAACTACGTCGCCTTTTATTTTGAATAAATAATCTCATATTCTTCGGCTGCGTCTTGAACTGTAGTTTGTCCTTCACTCCCTTGAACCTCTTTCAGCAGATCGACTTCTCCATGTGCCGAAGCATTCCTTCTGAACATACTCACAGCAAGTGGAAGTGTACCAGTTCTTTCTTTGGTCTTCCCTCTCATTCGTTACTGTCGTACACCTTGTCCGAATTCTTTCGCAAAGCGCTGTAATGCCTTCCTCTATGGCTTCTTTCCCTCCGTTTCCTCGTTTCCTCGTTTCCTCGTTTCCTCGTTGATACGTTCCTTAAGGTGTAATCTTGCTGTGCGACTTTCGAAGCCACTCCGGTGCCTTTGGACCCAGCTTTCTATGTGTGTAATGGCTTTGAGGACCGGTACAAAAGATAAACGAGGATTGGCAGAGCCTCTCTATTGATTCATAAAGGCAGCTGGGCCGCTGCGATGCGTAATCATTCAGAGCGGGTGTTCTCACTCTACTAAAAAATTCAGGCTCCAAATCTAAGGTGGTGATACCTTTCGGGGCCAACCATTACATAAGTCGAGGCCAAATAGCCCAAAGGGCCGAAAAATTCTCGTAGATCAATATTGTCACTAAAGTCTGTACATTTTGTGCAAATAGCCCCTGCAAGAATGAGGTCTGAAAAAATCTTGCATGAAAAAAATAACCCATCCCCGGCTCAAAAATCAAATAGTGGCCCCCTTACTGGTGGCCCTTCATGCTGAGTACTATAATACATTAAATTCCTGCAGACTCCGCTACTTGTACCTAGTAGGCAACGTTCCTTTCACCCATTCTACCGTTTATTTAAAAAAAAACTAAATAAAATAAACTATAAAGGTTTTGTTACTTTTAATTTCACCGAGGTAAGTCTTTGGTATTCCACTTATTTTCACTAATTCTACAATGTTATTTCAGACTATTTATCACACAAGCATTTATCAGTTATAAAGTAATGGAATGTGTCCTTTACTTTCCCGGCCCGATACTAGTACTGGTAGGTGAACCGATCTCGGTTTCTCGTCAGAGTTCGAGATAACTCCAAAGCTCCGTGCAATTAGAGCAGATTTGTTAAATTGCGAGAAAGCATTTATTTTGCAACAAAGCGCGCGAATTCATTGTACTTTTGTATTCTACTCTTGACGTCCATTCTAATTATCTAAGTACTTTTAAGGGTTAAGTTACTGATCCAAAAATACCAACCTCGATTTAAAGTCGCCTTGGGACTTGCTTGAGGCCCGGGGCTTGAGGCCATTAGGCAATCGGAACCTAGGAGGAGAACCAGGAGTAAATCAGTCAAGGAAGTAATTACGTACCTTTCTCTGTCACAGGATTTCCTTTTGTCCTTTTTCTTTTTCCCCATTTCTCGCAAAAAAAAAGATATGTATAGATCGCTTTCTCTGCATTCTGGCGTTGACAGCGCACTGAGGAGTTGCGTTACAAAGCGAGAAAAGTGACTTGAGATTCATATTACGGTGCCCTCAAACAATTAATAAATTAAGAATATGATACCGTGTTTTCGTCAAATAACAGGACTTCGTATGACAGGAACAGCCGCCAGCCGGAAGCAAGAATAGGTAATTTACCTCGGACAGGAAATTCTATGGACACAAACCTTATTATGCGGAAAAATATTGTGATAAGAGATTTTTAGACCGTGTAATAAATCTGATCCCTGATTCAGGCTCAAAAGCTTTCTGATCCCTGATCCCGTTATTCTGAGCCCTGAGCCCTTTCCTCTGAGCCCTGATCCCAGTCATATTTTGGGCTTTGAGCCCTGAGCCCATATACCATGTTACGACCCTGTCATAGGTCACATCGAGGAACAAATCTTTGATCACCACAGAAGACGAACACCCGATTTGTAAAGCGGTATATAATGTATATCGATGACATTGCCGGAGAGAAGAGATCGAAGATTTTGCTACATGTACCGGTGTTAATAGTTTTTATCCCAGTCTAAAGTTTAATTGGTCCATCCCTGATGAGCAGCTACCTTTTCTCGACCTCCTTTTGAAGCCAACAACCCTTGCATTTGATCGTCTTCTTTATACAAGCATACATTATAAACCAACTGTCACCCATATCTTATTTATGCGTCCTCGCACCCCACTCGTTAGACTTTCAAAAAGTCCTTCGTCGGATTTCATATGGCGCGGGACGAACGACTTTTCATACTTGATTGGCGCCAATTTTACCGACACAAAAACGGGTCGGTGCGCTTGGAACAATCAGAGTAGCTCCCAAGGACCCTTGGGGATAAAGCTGTTACTCACAAGTCCTAAGGGCATTAAAACGTGACTTGCGGTTCAAATTCCAACATGGGGTCGATCGCGAGGTGGAAGTTGACAGGCCAAACACGACTTATAAGCTCGTGATAGCCTTATACGTGCCTTTATAGTTTTGCTCTAACGAGGATATCTCCCAGCGATTTTGCTCTTTTATATGAAATGATGGGAGGCTCGTTATATATTTCTCTCAGTAGCTCATTAAAATGTTTTTAAGGTTCTGCAAAGCAGGGTGGTAGGTGGTAACGAAAGGCAGAATTTCCTTTCGCACTTCAGTGTTCTTTTGTAAACGTGACTTCCGTTCGGTAAATTTAACCTCCGAGGTGATTTTTCTAT